CGCCTGCTGCGACTTCGTGATCGGCTGCACGATGTGGACGGCGACGACGTCGCACGACAACGCCGTCGGCTGCTCGGCGTTCATCGGCTACGCGATCAGCATCCTGCACGTGTCGATCGTCGGCATCCTGCTCTGCACGCTCAACCGCTACGTCGCCATCGTCTACCCGCTGCGCTACAATGCGCTGCTCACCCCCGCGCGCACCGCCATGTTGATCGCCACCTGTTGGGCGTACGCCGTCGCGTGCGGTGCGGTCGCTGCGGTCCAGATCGCGTCCACCTGGCGAACGCCGACTGCTTGTATCGGTGATATGCTGATCGCGCGCTGGTACACGTGCTTCATCGTCGCCGAGTACGTCGCCATGTTCGTCCTGATGGTTTACTGCTACGCCGTCATTGCGAAGATCGCCTGGCAGCACACGCGCCGGGACAGGACGACAGCGTCGTCGGCCGACAGACTCGACATGACGGCCTTCCAAGCGAAGTTGAAGATGTCGAAGACTATACTGACCGTGGTCGGCTCGTCCTGCTTGCTTCTCAGCCCGCACGTGCTGCACCTCTCCCTGATCCGCTTCTTCTCACCGCAGCGGCTGCTAGTGCTGCGCTCGATTCGGCTCGCCTCTCTCATCGCCAACTCGCTCATGAATCCGATCATCTACTTCTATAAGTACAAGGATTTTCGCCTGGCCGTGCGGCAGCTGACCGGCTGCTGGCAAACGTCCTCTGTGACTCCGGTTGAAGCAATGCACGAATGCTAGCTTCAGTGAGATTTGCTGTGAATGCTAATAACTCTCCCAACCGCGTTAGATGCAGCGTATAGCTATAGATAACGTGCGATGTGATGCGTGTGGCATGAGTTTTGTTTATCAGATAGAGTATTTTAACATGTTATTACAATATATCGCTATATGAGTCTGTGGCATAGAAATATATAGAGACACGTCTAACTTGTATATCACTTCTATGGTCTGTGGATTCGTGAAACTCGTAATTTGGGTCGACCCGATTAGATTGTCATACAATTAAAAGCGGAACGAATGGCAAGAAGACACGAGATGTCGTGTATCGGTTTCGGTAACAGCGTTGAGTTGGTGTTATTACAATTATGAGCGACCAAGGTTAGTATAGCCGCGTTCACACGGAGCAACAAATTCGGTATTTAGCGTTCACACGAGGCTGAAATGCGCGGCTCAACAAATACGGAATCTAAATAGATTCGGTATTTGTTGAAATACGCGGCTTCCCAGATGCCGAATTACTTCTCGTGCTTGAGAAATTCCGAATCTCTTGGACCGCGTATTTCTCTCGTGTGAACGCTAAATCAGAGGTCCCAAGTGGAAAAAATCCAAGAAAGGGATCACTTGTGATAATAGTCCATCGCCGTTTTTTCGCGGTGTGCAAAAACAGGAAAAAACGCGTAACGCGAGTGGAACTGTCGAGCGCGGACCAGTCTACGTATTTTATCGGCAGTTGCTGTGCACTGATTGTTTATTTCGCATTGTTCGCTTGATTGTTCGCTTGAACGTATTGTTTTTTTTTCATTGTACTAAAGCAGCTCGCAGCTCGCAAATACGGCATTTCTGAAGTCGCGAAACAGCGTGTGAACGTCCACACACGCGGCGCGGCTCGGAACGCCACGGAAACGGCGTCGTTCACCCCTACCGGCAAAGTTCAAATCTATTATATCTTAAGGCGCAGTCTCCATTGACACGGCACGGCGCCATCCCGGTTTCACGGCGACGGCGCATGCTAAATGAGTTTGACTTTTGCCGGCTGCCGTGTACGGAGAAAGACAGTTGAACAAATCAACGCGATTGTTTTTTATCACGTGTTCTGCTCGCGCCACCAGCAGCCAATGGACAACAAGCACATAATTTCTGATCACTGAACTAAGTCGCGTATTTGTCTCAGATAGCGAATTTCATAAATACGGAGTCTCGTGTGAACGCAGCAATGGATTGTGTTGGCTTGTAACTTTATTATAATTTATTACAGTTTGTATTAGCTTACCCTGTTATACAAATATGTGAACGCGCAAATGATCGGAACGAAGCGCAATTGTTGTTACTCTGCATAGTAGCTGGAATATGAAGCATTTCGGTGTGCTCTCCCTGCGTTCGGGTTTACTGACGCTGATAGGGTCACTGACGCTCATAGGGTCTATGTCCCCCAGGGTACTGCCGGAACGTACCCTGGTCACACACACACACACACACACACACACACACACACACACACACACACACACACACACACACACACACACACACACACACACATATGCTTACGGCGAAGCCACACAACTGCACCGCTATAGTCTATAAAACTGTTTGAAGTACCTAATGTACCGCTGCGCGCCCTAATGAGACATCAGCTTTTTGAGCTGATCTGCTTTGTGGTTGCACCAGAAGAGCGCTTCGTCGCTGGGGTTAAAGGTGACTTCCCGCGAAACTTGAAGCGGCAAACATCAAATCAGGCAAAAATAAATTATTTTAACATTACACGCTTGTACTTGCCTATATATGTGTGATAAGTAAAAAAAATTGCTCGGGAATGCGTTCATTCAAAGCTTTTAGACTACAAAGTGAAAGTGTCGAAGTTCACACAAGTATCTGCTTACTTACGACGACTGCAGCCTCATTACCGACAGCTCAGCGTGCTGCGCCGAGCCGAGGCGGACTCACCCACTCTCGTGTGCACCTCGCGTGCCTCAATACGCCATTACGGCCTACGATTACGAGGTGGAATGATAATGAACTCGAGCGGACATGCTGAAGTGCCTATTACTACGTAACATCAGCGACAATAGATATACGGCCAGATAGACTTAGTTTAGAGGTTAAAGGTTTCCATCCCGTACATTTTGTTAACAAACCACTGTAAATAACGCTAGAAAATAACTCACTCCACTTTAACTAAACTTTAGCTTTGAAAACTTAATCT